ATCTCTCCATTTCTCTCTATCTCTCCTTACTACCCTAGCTCCCTGTATACACAGGCAGTCACAGAGACAGACAGACAGACAGGCAGACAAAATAGAAAGTCACAAAGTCTCACACACCTCTCTTATCAATGTAAAGATTAAGTGTTATTTCCAAGTCTGGAAACAGACATACTGCCAGCAAAATCTTATCTGATTCTGGTCTCTTCTAGGGAGGCCAGGTCAAGATTCCATGCAGTGTTTGCCAATACACAGAAAAACAACAAGTCGTATAAAACCAAGCGCTGCCCACGCACAGCAAGTGGTGCCCTGGACCTGACTCACGGTCAGCCCGAGCCTCACACAAAGAGGCCACCCCAGCCTGCAACTCATATCTTGGCAAGTAGCGCTTACCAAAAGCTCTCTGAAGATTGCTTAGCTTGCTTCAGATATTTAACTTTAAATAATTCATGCAAACCAGATTTACTTCTTTTCTATTGGAAAGAGGGAAAAAGAACAGTCACAAGCTATTCAAAAATAGCAACGCTCTTCGCTACTCTTTGCAGTTCTGGTTCTAAGAGGAGCTCCCCACTCATTTGGATAGAATCCTCAGCGCCATTCAGGTGGAGCCTATACTTCTGTTCCTCCACAATCACTCCTCACTCAGGACTGTGCATGACCATTGCCACCGGTCACTGCAAGGACACCCAGAGAAAAGGTCTATGCATTCACGTTTCTTCCTTACTACTAAAAATGACCAAGGGTAGACCAACACAAGCAGGAAAGAAATTCTGCAGGAGTTTAGACACAATGCCACTTGCCTGAAAATAAGGCAATCTCCATTCAACTAATATTGAGAACCAAGGGCTGGGGAGATAACCCTGTGGTCTGAGTGTCTGGCTGGCAACTGCATGGACTCAGATTCGATCACCAGTACTGCGCGCCACGCCAGCCCTGGAACCCCAGGTGCACCATGCCAGCCACCAAAACTGGATGAGGAGGTACACACCTGTAATCCCAGCTCTAGGGAGGCTGAGACAGGAGTATCACTACAAATCTCAGCTGTGTAGCGAGACCCTATACCAAATAAATGAAAAGATTAAAAAAATTGAGAATCAAAAGGAGTTTTGGGATGTGATTAAACCTATTTAGTGCAAGTAGTTTTGCCTTCTTTCAAGAAACAATTGAAGGGAGCACACAGACACCCCTACTAGCCATTCAAAGCACACAAGCATGAATGTACACTCAAAGCCAGAAGTGAGCTTAATATTCAACCCTGCATGATTTTGGAAGTGGGCTCCAAATTTATTTCTAGCTTCTGAGCAATGAAAGCAAAGACTGACTTTTAATGCATCAAGTTATAGCCCTCTGTAGGGCTAGTGAATTAAATGCCAAAACATATTCAAGCAAACCCAGAAGCTCTGACTTTCGCCTTCACAAGGCAGAGGGTAGCAACACTTTTCTGGTGGTGTTTCAGCAGCTGCGCTGACCGTGACTGCCACTCCATCACTGCGGCTTCCTACCTCCGCCCTCATCTGGGCTGTGTTCCTTGGGGGGAAGAGGAGGGGCTGAGGTTCCTAAATGAGGGTGATTTTGTCCTGAAAGAGGCATTTTGGGTTGCCACAACCTTGGGAAAGGGTTGCTGTTGGCACTGAGTGGGTAGAGTTAAGGATGGAAATACCCAGCCATGCAACAACTGTCCCACCGTGGTCATCCGGCCAAAGGCTGAGGCTGAAAATGCCCGTGTATACTTAACCAGATTTGAACACTGTAGACACATTGATCATTACATGGTACCCCATTAGCAGGTACACACTTTGTGTTTTGTTTGTTAGTTAAAATATTTCTAAAATATTTTTTAAAAACAAATCCTAGATAGCTCAGAGGCATAAGTACCTTGGGCAGGCACAAGGACCCAAGTTTGATCCCCAGCTCCACGGGCTATGCCATCTCATCCCCAGAACCTGAGGCACTCACCCTGGAACTGGGCATGGTGGCACAAGCCTGTAATCCCAGCACTCAGGAGGTTAAGATAGGAGGTTCTCTGTGAGTTCAAGACCAGCCTGGGGGCTCCAGAAGTGAGCACAAGACCAGCCCAAACTGTATAGCAAGACTCTGTCTCAAGAATAAAATAAAATAAAATAAATCCTAGAGCAATCTGAAAGAGTTGTGTGTGTGTGCATATGCATGTGCATGCAAGTATTTACTAATAAAAAATAATAATTAAAATTACTAATAAAAATTAAGTCATTTTTCTGGTTTTAAAAAACAGGTTTGCTTTCTTGGCTCAGTCTACGCTATTTAAAAATCTACAGAGAAGAAGAGCTTTCATAATTGGCAGAGGAGGGAAAATGAGACCAAACATTTGTTCTGGATCCTGGATCTGGATAAAATGACAAAAAGAATTTCAAAGTAGGAGGTCCAGAGGCCACAGGTAAAGGACAGCCTAAGAAGTCTACCCGACTATGTTATGAAAGCTGGGCACTGCTTATAAAAACTGGAAGCCATCCCATCTCTGAACTGACTCTGAGCAGGCGAACCTGGCCAAAAAGAATGAGTTTTATAGCAGGGATGGAGAGCTGCTGGAGAAGAGAGAGCACAAACACACGGAAAGAACACCAAAGGAAGTTGAGAAATCGCCATCTGATGATACAATTTAGATTTGGACAGAGAACTGCATGCCTGAGCTCCTCCAGCTCTGACCTGCTAGATGCAGGTGCAGAGTTAGTGGCCTCCAGGTGTCCCTGCAGCTGGGTGGCTCCCGCCCATGCCAGCTGCTTCTCCTGGTGATGGAGGCCCGGGATCCTTCATGTGCCCCTCACACGTGATTTAACATGACTGCCACAGACCTGGCTCCATTATCATGCCCATCTTTCCAGTCTTTCTTTCTTTTCTGTTGAACCCTTCCTTTCTGAGAAGTCACTAGTCCTCTAGGTATGGAAAGGCCACCTCACATTGGGAAGATTCCTAATAACAAATCTTGGCTTTGCTCCCAAGTCCCTCAATAATCCCTCCTAGATTTTTGGGACATAAAATGGCTAACTCAAAATTCAAGCTATTGGGTCCAGGAGATGGCTCAGTAGAATAAGTGCTTCCCTGGCAAGCACAAGGGCCTAAGTTCAATTCCCAGTTCCAAAAAAATTCAAGCTGTTTCTGGATGAAGCTGGCCACACATTTTAAAGAAGCCAAGGGGCAGGGATCCTGCCTGACAACAGTGTGATGGTGGATGTGACCTGCCTAACCTCATGATGTTAGAAGGGTAAACTAGAAAACACTGGGAGTTCTTACACGGTCTGTCCCTACCTCACACAGCAGACCCTTCATGAGGAAGTGCGAACATCACCATTGCCATGGGTATGGAAGAAAACTTCATCCATACAGATTCCAGCTTCTCGTTCAGAAAATAAGGAAACTGAAAGTACCTCATAACTACCCATTAACAATGCTTCTTAACCAGGCATGGTGGTGCATGCCCGGATCCTAGCTCCCTGGGAGGATGAGGCGGGAGGATACAAGGTCGAGAGCAGTCTGAGCAACTCAGAAACTTAGCAGGACCCTGTCTCAAAATAAAAAAATAAGTTAGGGGGTGGGTAGGAAGGTAGCTCAGTGCAGAAATATCAGGTTCTATGATGGTAAACATGTTAAAGTTTTCTATGATAACAAACAGCCTGCTGTGACCTGTGTGCCATAGGTTTGCCACCATTGGTTGTATTCAATTCCAAATATTGATTTAAAAAATTTTCTTCTTCAGAGAGTCTCTAGAAGGATGATTAAATGTTATAGTTTAAATGTATTACTTTAAATCAACTGATGTGTTAATCATAGCAAATTATTCCTGCATTAGCTCTGGAACTCTACTAAGTCATACTTCAAACCCTCCTTGAAGTTATCTTATGTACTTCATTATCCTCAAAGAAAAACCTCTGTATTAAGGTTATAATGCATTTTTGTTAATTCAACCAGCACCTCTAGCCAGTGTATAATTGTTTCATGGCTTTGGCTCTATGTGATAGATATATAATAGGTGATAGCAATATATATACACATGTTATTACATGTTTCACATATATTTAAAATGGCCCTCCATTAACTTATTGCCCAAAAGCATAGCAATTCAAAAAGCAAAACACTGAGATTATTCTTAGCACTAGAAAGTCTGATATGAGATACATGGAAGGGATAAGCTAGTTCCCAGGAATGATGGTGTCATCTACAATGAAGCCCATTCCTTGAATCCTGATGGACTTGCAAGATACTTCCTAATAGATTTCCCAGCTTTGTTAATCCTGCTCAGTATACACAGAGCTAATCTGATAATGCACTGCCAACTCCCTTTTTAAATACTTCAGAAAGCCATCTCAAAATCACATGAAATTGAGAAGGACTGAAACAGTGATTTGCAGATACATTTATGCCCACCTAATGGAAATCCCACTGCCGTGTCTGGCCCTGGGGTTAGTCGTGTTTGGCTTCTTGAACAGGCCATGTGCAGAAAGAAGCTCCAAGAGCGCAGGTAAAGGTCACAGGACTGCAATGCATTGTGGGCCAATGACCTCTGCAAACTCTCACCAACAGCCACACTGGCCGTGCCCAGGCAAAGGCATGAAGAACAGTGTCAGACTGAGGGAGGAAGCACAGCTGTGTGGCTTCATCCCAAGGGATGGAGAATCCCTCTTCAATTACAGATGTCTGGTGTTCCTGGATGTCGTTATCTTAGCCACTATGACTGCAAATGCTATTAACAATTAAAATGCACATTGCATTACTGGCCCTTTCTAAACCTCATCAGATCATTTATCTTCCTGATTCTCACGGCAGCAAGTTCTGATGGAAAATCCACATTTGTCTCAATCATGCTTCTATGAGAGGATTACAGCCAATAAGCGTGTCTGTGGGGAGGGGAATGGCCTCATCCTACGCCCGCAGAGTTAAAAAGTGTGCAGAAAATGTCCCCTCTAGTTCCTTATTGCATCACAAATTGCCAGACAAATAGCAACAGAGCATTTCCAAAGCAATGAACTTACTTTCAGTGCAAATCGGGCAGCATCCTTTTCTGTTGAGGATTTTACCCTAATCAGGAGAAAAACAAATACAGAATTAATGCTAAAAAAGGGTCTGCTGAGGAAGACAAAGCTCTTTTTTCATATCTAATACCAGAAAAAGCAAAGAAATCAGGCCAAGCTGTGTTTGAACTCAGCACCCACAAGGTGCTCATGATGGTAAAATGAGTTTTCAGGTCTGGGGTTCTGAGGCCAAGCCTGGTCACTGTGAAAGCCTTCCTGTTTCTATCCCCTATGAAGTGTGAAGCGTTCAAGCCTTGCAAGGGTCAGATTTCTCACATGGCCTGGAGGGAAGATGGAGAGCCCCTTCAGCGATATGCAGGGCACACCCACAGCAGGCACTGCCTGCCCAGCTGCCACTCTGGCAGGGATTTCCTCTTCTGTTTCCTGGAGGAGCCCAAACACTGAACTACAATCCAGGCTCCGGACTCACACATCCTGTGGGCATGGGTGTGGGTCTGCTGCTTGGTCAGAGTCTCTTTCAGAAAGTGGTGTCTTACCTGTGTCAGGTCACTGAGATGTGCTCAGAACCAACAGGACTGAGCCCTCTGAAATGCTAACTGATTTCCATTACTTTCTGGAAATTTGCTGCAATTTTCCCTCTGCGAGTCTTTTCTTGTTTTTACTGCATGGCATTTAGAAGAGCAATCACAGTCTCAGGACCCAGAGGACAGCTGGGCCTCATCTCTGACTCAGTTGTTAATCAGAGGGAAAAAGCAATAGAAGATTAGCGTCTACAGAGCACTTGCTTTGTCACTGATTTCCTGCAGATCCTTCACGTATGTCACACATCAGCTTTGTTGCACAGGTGTGAGGAGCTAACTACTTTAGGGGATTAATGATGTTAGAGATTATTACAGTTGTTGCTATTAAGCACGAGAACCTTAAATCTGAGCATTTCCCTTTTCATAGATGATAAATTTTAATGTCAAGTAATGGGGAAGGCTGAGTCTAAAATTAACTCTAGCTTTGTGTTACCCTCCTTTCCCCTGAAGATTTCCATCCTCCATGTCCTTTATCTTAAGAGAATTTAGCGTGGATTGAGTTTCTGCTCCGCATTACACATTCCCCATACTCTGTCTCATTTACACCACCTTGCTCCAGATGGAGATGCTTTGTTCTGATTACAGGGACTAAGGAAAGAGAGCCACAGTGGGATCACCCATGGCCCATGACAAGGACATACTGGTCATGCACTGCCATTCGCTGAAGCCAGTTGCATCAGAATAGGCACTGGTATTTAAAAATAAACACTAAATTGACTTTTATAAAGCTGGTTAAAGATTACAACCAGAATTGGCTCTCATTCTATTTTCTTGCATCAGTTGGGCCACATTAAAGGCCATGGCAACTTTGAATGAGACTTCAAACTCAGCCCCACGCAGCCATGCCACGGTTTGGGGGCATCAGGACACCTTCTCATTTCCCACAGCTCTGCTAACTGTTTCTGTCTGGCATAGAGCCTCCTTTAATTTGTCATAACTGGAAGCAGCTGAGGACAAAGCCAGCTGAGTCAGGATGATGGAGCAAGCCTTTCTATGCCCATGTGGCAGAGAGGTTTCATGCCAAGTCTGGAACCCAGTGTGGCTCGATCCCCTATGTCTACATGGAGGCAGAAACTGACCTCTTCCTTCTCGGAGAAGGAAGGTGGAGTAGGTCAGGTCACAAGATCAGGCGGGAAGTAAACCAAGAGCAAGGTGGGAAGCCCAAGAGTCCAGCTCACGTAAGGTCTGGACACCCCGCATCCCTGTGTGCAAGGAGGAGCGCTCACAGTGCCCACCTCAGGAGGCCTCAGAGTTGAGTGCGATCCATCCTGGGACCACAGCAAAGCCTCGTACACATCAGTGGTGCTGAGAGGACAGTGTTGTGACAACCTGACCCCATCCCCACGGGAACCCTGGCAGCCCTGCTCCCAGGCCACACTTTGTCCCTGTGGAGTTGCCAGTGGGGGCAGGCAGGGAACCCCACATTAAATCCTTCTGCAGCAATGCGCATAGACTTCTGGAAAAGAGCTGCTTGGCAGGCAAGAAGGGCAGAGCAGGAAACACAGATGCTCCTCAAGTCCTTTTAGCTTTTCAACTCCCTGAGGTGATGTTAGGAAGGTGAGGTGAGTGCGAAGGATTCCCGCGCGGGCTAAGCCGCCTTCCATATTCTTTCTAGCGGGAGGACCCGCTAGAAAGACAGGTGGGACCAGGCAGTCAGTCCCTGTGGCTGCAACCTGCTTAGAATGCTGACAAGCTTGGCAAGGTGCAGAGGAAGGAGCCGGGAAAGGGCTCAGCAGGGAGCCCACATGCGGTCCAGAAACAAGCACCACTTAGTAGACACTGGTGACATAAAGAGCGATTCCCTCTCTGCAGGGAGAAGACCGTGACAACCATAGACCCTACTCCAAGCAGAGCTGGGAGCTAGCTCCACCAGGCCCAGGGAAGTGAACTGCCTGAGCCATTGAGTAGACAGAGCCCCCGTTTGTCTCACAGGAGGAGGAATCCACGATCACTAGGTCACTAGCTTGCTGAGAGACTCACCGCATGAAGGCCCCCTGAGGTCGGCATCAATGATGTGAACTCTTTTCCCAATGAATATTTATAAGCAGCCCCTGTTCAAGTCTACTTATCACATCTCTTCTCTTTTTTTTATAGGAGGTTTTCAGTTTTCTGTCAGGCTTTTTAGAGCAAGACTAATTAGAGGTTTTTTCCTTCTTCTCTCCCCCCACCCCTCCATTCAGTTGTGCAAGGGCAGCAGCTGTTGTTTTCTTGTACCTTCTTTGGCACTCAAGTAAAAAAAGCAACTTTGTTTATCATAATACCAGATGTGAATGAAATTAAAAGCTCTCTATAATAGAGAAAGGAGGACAAGTCCTGAATATATGGATACGTTGTTCTCATTCACTGGAAGGATGTGAATAGGTTTGACATTTTCCCAAAATGCAGGAAACCTTGAAAGGTTTCGAGTTGCTGAGGTAAATTCAATGAGCTCTTGCTTTAGAAGAAGATAATGGCACTTTATTCAATGTGCCAGACTATGGGTATTGAAAGGAGATATTTCCACAAGGACAGGATTTTCCATCTGGGGCCAGGGTGGACAGAGAACTTGGGCAGGCAGAACCAGACTGCTGTTGGGCAGGAGAAACTTCTCAGGGAGGTTGTTAGTAGGCAGCCACAGGCCAGTCTATCAGTGAGAAGAAAGCTGCAGTTGGAGAAGGGAGAGTAGGAAAAGGTGAAAGATGGTTAGGAAGTTAAACAGAAAATGTAGCAAAAGAGAGCAGGGCAGCAGCCTAAGCAGAGTGGGAGGGGTGCTGTAAGAGGACGTGGAAGAAGCCAGTAAGAAGCGCAGGAGCCGGGCCAAGAGCTGGTCGGAGGTGTTCACACAAGGGAGACTGGGTGGAAGGAGGAAGCTATGTGGGGACCTGGCTCCCCGGGAAGGTGAAGGCTTTGCCATATCTGGCTTCTGCGTTCACAAGACGCTTATACAGGTGCTTCCCAAGGCACTAAGGGAAAGGGAAAGTGGACCAGTGTCCAGCATACCTGCGGGCAGCTGCTGATGGACACACACTGCTTCCTGCGACACTCCGTCCTGCCGGTCACACAGGCACAGATGGTGCAGTTGGCTGAGGACCACACCTCACCCTCCTGTGGGACAGACAGAGCACAGGGTTCTGTGGGAGCTGGGCCTGTGGGTGGGGCAGCTATATCAGGAAGGTGAGGACTGCTCGTAGGGAATGCATGTCTCACCTGGCTCAGGGATGGCGTCCTTAGATGCAATGTTTCTAAACTTTCATCTACATGAGGTGTGATGGCAACATACAGTGAATGGTTACATTTTTTAAATTTATGACAATAAAAGCCACATTGCCATGAATTTCTCTCAAAATCCTTCCTGTCAATTCCAACACACTTCTCTCCTTGTTCCTGCCAGTTTCTGAAGCAGTCCTAAAGGACCTCTTTCCTAAGTGTCTTTAGGAGGCATGATTTAAAAATGCACAAAAATACAGTGGATGCTGCTGCTGAGTGCCATCCAATAGGAAGGCGGGCTCATGAAACAAAGCCCACTCTCATCTGCATGAACCATTGCATCTGGCACCCTGGCACTTCTGGCTCATCCCCAAAATCAAAATAACCATGAAAGTTCAATGTTCTGGATGGGATTCAGGACATCGAGGCAACCACAATAGTGTAATTAAAGACAGAACAGAGGACTTCCAGGACTGCTTCTGCAGTAGGATGATGGGCTGAATGTATTCAAAATGAGAGGAATATTTTGAAAGTGATTCATGTCAATGTGTCTTTTACTGCAGTAATTTTTTGTTTTGTTTAAACATTTACCCCATTTTTGATAATATCTCATAACTGATCATTTTAAGATAAAGATGAGAGAGATTTCAGGGTGCGTATGTGTTTCCTCTCCAGATTATAAAAATTTATGTGTGTTTAACCAGCTTGTATTTGCATCTTATTCCTCATGCACTGCATGACAGAGAATGAATTTTCATAGATGATATAATAACAACCTTCGAATTTCCCTCTGATAGGATGTTATGCCAGGTAGCAGCAGTGAGTTGAGATGGCCAGAGGCAGGTGGTTTGTTCCCAGATGTGCCACCACTCTGGACATGAAAAGGGCACATAGGAGAATACAGAGCACAGACAGAAGATGTCACCAGCCACACACAGCTGGTCCCAGCCTGGCTGGTACTGTCCTCCTACAATGCAGGGTAGCATTTGAGTACACATTTCTTTTACCACAGAAAAGAGCCACTTGAGGAATTTCTTTGGCCCACTGGATTTATGACCGGCACCTTCCCAGTGTCTGGCCAAGACAGAAAAGGCAAAGATGAGATCCATGCTTGTGATCTAAGAAGATCACAGGCCACACAGTTGAGCCCAAAACAATGAAGTATCCTTCCTTGGCTTGTGGGTCCAGAGACACAAGTCTCCATCTTTGTTGCTGCCTCCTGTTCTTTACCTTTGAAGCTATTTTAAGGACCACCACCCTCTGATGCCTTTGAGATGCAGAAAGGCCTTGACTCAACTGGACCTAAAGGACACCTTTCTGCAGACTCAGTGTCTCTGTCAGTTATTTCAGCCTGCAGTCGCCTCAACGGGCATATTTATAAGGAGATTTGAAAGTGCTTTGCACAAAACCCCGTCGTGAGAGGGCAGCTACTTTATCTCCATGCTCCAGAGGCGAAGAGTGACTTTGTGTGTGGAGCAGGAGTGGTCCTAGAAGCCGGGTAAGCACAACACACACAGCCCTCTGGTGGCAGAACACATCCTGGCTTCTTAGAGTCCCTGAGGACCAGAGCCTCTCCTCCAGCTGTGGTGGTGACCAGGCAGCCTGGCCCAAGAAGCTTCTGAAACTGGGCTGGTTCTGAGGTCTGAGGTATCAATTCCCAAGAATACCAAGAAGTGACATCTTCGGGTACGGACTGAGTCCCCCCACCCTTGAGGCAAGCAGACTGGCTGGGAGATGGGAGAATCCTAGAACAAAGCCCAGTGCCTGCATCCAGAGTGTAATGGCCACTGCCAGGTTCCCACTGTGAGCACCAGAAAAGGCTGAGAATCACACCTAAGGCGGCCAGATGCCAGCAGACAATCTGTCACTTTAGCTGGGGCAGCGTCCTCTCAACCCTGTGACCACCATGCTGGCCACGCACAGCAGAACAGTTGTTACCTGAGCACCGTCCAGAGGAGAAAATTCCTCTTGGGAAAGGGACTTTGTGAAAAGCTTCTAAGTGCATCAAGCTGAGGTCCATCAGGATCTCGATGTGGGGGTCATCTTGGCAAGGGGCCCACCTGAATGACACGCTCCTGACAGTGGGTGCCCACAACCACACCGCCCACCGGGAAGGACATAAGAGCTGGGCCAGGCCAGATATTCTAACAGCAACGAAGCCAAAGCAAACACTTTTCAAAAGGTTGCCTCTGTGTCCCATGTGCCCTTACTTAATTCTAAATATACAATACTGCAATACACATGAGCACATCAGCTACACACAAACACCTCCATATGTGCACACACATAGACTGTAGAACTCTCCAACCTGCATTACTCCAGAGCTGCTTAACAGTCAGCCCAGGGCAACAGTGCCAATAAACTTCACCTCGGACATACCCGGAAAATCTTGTTGCCAAACTTGCACACACTGACGTCTTCTGGGGGCACTCGAAGGAGGCACTGCTCACAACAGGCCTCACTGTCCCTGTCACAGCTGCCAGGGTGGGAGCAGGTTTTCTTGCATACCACAGTGGAGTCCTGGGAATCCAAAGCAAATGGGAAATTAAAGACGACTTTCCCCAGGTAGACCAGATATCCTCGCTGGCCTTCCTCAACAACCCACACGTCACTTCTCCAAAATTTATTCTGCAGGTATTACATTTTAATGGTTTGCAATAAACCTTTCTATCTCTTCAAAATGTAACCTATTTACTTTCATCTGAAGAATACTATGGGGCATTTTAATGCTTGGGGACAACAGGCACACATTCCTTACCTTCCAGTGACTTGCAACTCCATGGTCAAGAGAACCAGTCCACTCCTGCCAGTGCGTGGCGAGGAAACCCCACTCACCACAGGACAAAATGTGTCCCTTCCTTCTTCCTGCCTCTCTGCTCCTCACACTCCTCCTTCACAGAGCTCTCTTGGGTCTCTGTCTTGGCTTTATGCCACCCTTAGGAGTTTCATGGACAGCCAGACATCTCTGATCAAAGAACTTTAATCAGAGCTAACTTAACAAGTCACCCTAGGTGACATGTGTGTGTATCTGCAAACGAACTAAGTAAGCCATCCCAAAACTGGATTCTAGACCTCTGCTGTGAAGGATGTGACCTTCATCAGGCTGTTTAAGCTCCAGTGAGTGAAAGGACTAGGTGTGCTACTTAAGGTGTTTGGAATAACATGTTTTCACTGTGGACTTCTGGGTTGGTCTTTCTATCTGTACATATCTCTCTTCCTCTTTAACTCTTTAGCTACCAAAAACAAAATATCAATAGCCATGACCACCAAAATAAGTTATTTTAAACTTGGGTTGCACAGATATGCAAGTTAACTCACCACCAATGAAGATACCAAAGCCCTCCGCGGTAAATGCTTCTTTTCCTAGTCTCATGCATAATTCATAGAATCAGGACATCTGTGTATGTGTGACGTGTGCCCCTTAAGCCTCTGAAGCTGTGGAATTCTTTATCAAGAATTAGATTGTTCAGAGAAAAGCAAACCTCTGCTTAAGAAACACACAATAAACCACACATAAACACTATCTTCCCAAGCTGCTAGGCTTAGTGTTGTGATGAACCATAAATTTATCCATATCCCTTCCAGAGTGTAAAGAAAGCCACTGTCACTGCTCATTGTGTTTGAGAATTCACACTGAAAATTGGAGTGAGGCAATATGGCCATCTGTGTATGTCTGACTTGGGGAATCCTCTTGATGGTTCTCAGAGTGTAGGTTTTGTCACCAGGAGCCACTCTGCGGATCCTCAAAATCTGATATGAGTTATCAGGAAGGAGCTGCACATAAACTTCTGGTGACTTTGAGCATAATTTTACTTGAGAGGCAACAGCTCTGATGCCTACACCTGATAAATAAACACCACTGCCATTGGCTAATAACTCTGAAACACTGGACTTCTTGGTAGTGTGTGTGCCACAGCCCCTCTGCTCCACCTCACCTTGCAGGTACACGTTGTGCAGTTGTTGTAGAGAAATGAGGACCCATTGTCATACACATCACTGTGAAATAGGCAGCTCCCAAAAGGAAGGTCAAACACTTTCCTCTGACCTAGAGGGAAGCAACATCACGGCATGAGAGAGATGAAATTCAAGAATGTCTCATTTCGTCATCAACAATTACAACATTGGATGTTAAGCCTTCTCCCAAAAACAGGTAAGACTGGTGCACAAAGAGAAAGCCTTGAGCATGACATTCCAAGAGATCCCCAAGGGTCATTTTAGAGTCATTGTTTAAGAGTTTGATTCCATGGGCCGGGGTGATGGCTCAGTGGAATAAGCATTTCCCTGGTAAGTTCAAGGGCCTGAGTTCAATCCCCGGTTTCGAAAAAAAAAAAATTTAAAAAAAAGAAATAAAATCAAGAGTTTGATTCCACATGAACCCATAAGTTCAACAAATCATGATTACATACACACATCCACCATAGTGAACCATAGTATCTTAGACAAAAGGGCTGCACTGGGCTCATATTGTACTGGGTAGACAAACACACAAAGGCCATTTTAACACAATGACAGGTTTAGTTCTGAGGAGAAACCTATATGAGAAGTGTAGGAATAGGGAAGACAAAAGCCTTTAAAAGCCTGGGATCCCTGAGCTGTGTCTTAAACACAAGTCTAATCACCCCCATGGTAGGAAGGAGTAGTTGGAGGGATGCAGGTAGAAAGAGTCAGGAAAAATCAGGAACTAGAATGAGCAAAAGGAACTAATGAAATGGCATCTGTGATGGTCTAGACATTTTTGTTACCACAAATCTCCCATATTAAAATCTAATGGCCAAAATTACAGTATGGGGAAAGGAAGAGATGGAGAGATGGTTAGGTCACGAGGTTGGGGCCTTCATGGATGAGGCTGATGCTCTTATAAAAAGAAAAAAGAAGCCCAAAAAGGAACACTAGCCCTTTCCACCATGTAAGATCACAGAAAGAAGGCCCCATCTAGGAGCTAGAAAGCAGACCTTCACCAGACACAGAATTTATAAGTAATTTGATCTTGGGCTTCCCACCTGCAGAACTGTGAGAATCATTTTTTGTTTGTTTGTTTGAAAGCTACACAGTTACGGTATTTCACTATGGCACACTGAGTAGCTTAGGGCAGAAGTTGCATAAAGCTAGTACTCTGACAGGCTGAAGAAGGAGGATTTCAAGTTTGAGCCACCTCCCCCCACCCCAGCCTTCTTAGTGACTTAGTAAGAACATGCCT